ATAATTGTTGATTTATTTCGCTAATGTTCAATCGAATTACTGTTGACAAATTGAAAATAATTTCCTTATTAAATAACCTCAATTGTTTTGTATTAAAATGCATTCTTTTAGCATTTCAAAGACAACTCTTAAATGAAATCTCCAAAAAGGAACGGACATATGACTGAGAAACGTTGAATATTGAAAACACGAATTAACGGAAACATTATTTCGTGGTACAAGTCCAGGCCTCTGTTCGGCAACTGAACTTACAAAGCAACTTCGTAGACATCTATATGTTTTAGAATTACAAATGGTACTGGATTCGTAAAGAAAGACAGAAATAAGGCACTCGTTGCCAAAGGTTTTTACATCAATAAATAATGTTTAATACAATTAGTGTTTAAATCCCCACCATCATGTTCTAGTTATCGTTTTCAATGTGTTTATATTCACTAATATATATATATATATATATATATATATATATATATATATATAACGCGATCAGTATCATGTATTCGTTCATGTATTGTCTGATCGCGTTATACTCTGTAGTTGTTTGTCGTGCAAAATATACTTGCATCCTTGGTCGCCAAGCGCCGAACGAGCCAGTCGACGCATGTTTGCATATGTGCTTATAGCCTTTGTGCGTGGAGTGTGCTTTGGAGCCCCGCTTGCTGTGTTGGGACTGCTTGTTTGTTTGCATGCGAACGGTCGGAAACACCGCCGGACACCTTCACCCCGCACCCCTGCCGCAACCACCCGTCACGTCACCCTATCACCTTGGTGACCTTCATCATCTCCGTCCCCCACGTCACCTCCTAGCCGCCCCCGCTTCCCCGTCGTCCTCGCCGCCGCCTCCGCTGCCTGCGCACGCTCCGGAACGCGGCGGCGGTAAACTCCCCACGCCCTTCCGCCGGCCGGGTTCTATATCAGCTCTCAAATCTATATTAAACCCCCGCCCCGGCAGTAAACAGGTCATGGCGCCGCCCCCTCGCCCCACGGAGGGCTACTTTAATGTCGCTTCGTTGCCCGCGCGGAGCCCTTGCAGGATTTGCATTTAATCCGGTTGAACAGTTTGTTTTGCGTCAGTACTAATATTGCTGCGGAGAAACAGTTTATTAAAGGTCTTTATCTTCAGGTGATGGTGGTTTATGAGAATAGCCTGAAGATTCACTTTATTAAGATAAAGAATGACCTTACGAAACTGTACACGTAGAATGAAATTATATTTCAAACAGCTTACAGATATGTGAATGATATAATTCTTTTTTTAAGCGAATTTGTTTTATGTGACGTGAAACATAGAGCGTTGTTTTTGAGGGATGTTTCCGCTGGTTTACTTGGTACTTCATTTTACCTATATTTTTACTCTACTTGTATCAATTCACTTTAATTACTTGGGGAATTTCGAACTTTTTATTTACACCGTTGAAATATGTTATTTGTAGAGAATAGCAGGGGTGAATTGTAATAAAAAAGTTTTGAATAATGCAGCATTTGTGTGTGTGTTGTGTATAATCCATTAGGGAGGAGAGCAGACGTTGCTTCGGACAGAAGCAATTTTAAGATGCATTAAATGTAAATTTGTTTTTACTTCTGTGGAGTTTTGCAAAGAGTTATGTGCATTAAAGTTATTGCTACAGATTTTTGCAACTTGAACGATGGTGGTATGCCTCCAAGTGAGAGCCATTAAGTCGGAAGTGAGAGACATTGCGTCGTTATAGCTCGACAGCAATATTGAGTAAGTGAACTATTCCGGATGTGTGCGGTTATACTTAGGAGACGCTATGAAGTGTTAGGTCACACATGTGCTAGCAAGTGACGAACTATTAACATTGCATGGTTTTCAAGTGTGTATTTTTTCCACTTTTCCACTTGTTACAAATACATCTGCCTCCGCATTTGGCAGCGGATGTTTTACATCGCGTGTAACAGGAGAGAGCGGCATGGCCGAAGAAACAGCAGTGCGTAGCGAAAGCCCGCTGCCAACCGTAATAATCTTTCCGCCCCCGCGTCGAAAAGGGGAGAAAATCCCCGTAACCATTGTGATGATGCCGATACAACCTATCGTAATCGAGATGTAAATAAATCTTCGCCAAGTGCTATTCTCTTTTGTAGTCGACGAAGGTTGAAGTTAAAACGCAGTTAATTAAGAACGTAATATGATTTCGTGAGAGCAGTGAGACATTTTTGTGAACACGGGATAATACGCGTAGTTCTTAGATTCTTCACTAAATATATCAACTTAAGAACTTTCACCACGTGACCACTAATTTGCAGATGCGATTATATATTCACGTGTAGTGCTTCTATTCATTGTAGAGATTATTGCTTTGACTGCTTTCGGTCATCCTGAACTCAGGAAACGGAATTTGGTACCTCTTATGCATTTCTTCCGTACACTTCCGATTTCCTTAAAATGGTAATTTATTGTGATTCCCACTTATGTCTGTCTTTTGCCCTTTACTGTTACTATTCGTTTTCGTGTTTCTCTCTTTCCAGAAGAAGCACGGAAAGAAGTATTTTGGTTCTGAAAATTGACACTTTACGAAATATTTGTGCAGAAAGCTTGTATAGATATTAAAAAGAATTTTTAAAATAAAAATAGTCTCTCTAAACTCTTTGTGCTTAAATTTCTAGTACATTGGTTTCTGAATTTTTCCTATCTCATTTTAAACGAAATATATTTTTTCTCAAATTTGGGACAGGTTTACTATGTAGCGTTAACATAATAATCGTTTTCCTATGCAAATAGTCTCTGTTTGCATCGTGTTAAAGGGATAACTCTGAATTATTTTTAATAATTTAGTCGGATAACATAGTCCAGACTTTTATCTTTCTTTTACTCTCACATTTTCCCTAGAAATATAGCACTGCCTTACATTCTCCCTACGACACGTGCGATTATCGGGGATGTGAGTGAGTTCTTGTGTGTGTAAAGAATGTAGGATGTCATTCCTACTCATTTATTTTTGCTTCTCCAGGGGAAAAATACTAGAGGTCCACTCCCCGCCGTTGTATTTGTGCGATGTATTGATTTAGAGGAGAGAAGGGATCTGGAAAAATCCAACGAGAAAGCTTGGTAGTTCTGAAAAAGCAACGTTTTAAATAATTGCACAATTTTTTCCAAAATTGTTAGTTTCCAATAGATACGGCAGATGTTGCGGCCGCTTGCATTTGAAACAGATTTTTTAAATTTTATGAGTATTTTATGAGAGCCCGCTACATTATCAAATAGTTCTCATAAATGGCCCATTTTTTTGCTATCCCCCCCCTCCTCGGATAGGGCAGAAGACACTGAAAGCAATGACGTAGGACCCATTTTCGTTGAACCAAAATATTGCCTATGCATTCATAAGGTGATATTTTAGATAGCCTTCAGCTCCTGCTATTTAATTTATACACTTTTTTTGCCTTAGATAGGTTGCAGCTGATTATGGTATGATTATTCAAAAATTGGAAGCTCACTTGGATGTAATCAATGTGAAATTATGCTTGTGTGAAATTATTCTTGCTTCTCTGAATAATGCGCTGCAAATACTGTAAGAGTTGAGATTTTTCTTGTATGTTTCTTTTGTAGAAATAAGAAATGACTAGTGTTCTTGGCAATCGAAATAACTGGAGATTCGCACGTCAGGTACTTTGTTTGAATTTTTCAAATGATGATTGAAGAAGTGTTAGTAGGGCAGAAATTGCAATATTATAACATAAGTCACTAAGATAGTGTGAAAACGTTAACTACATCGAACGAAAATAATTAACTACTTGTCATCCTATTCTCTTACAATTATTCCTGTTACTGCAAAGCAAATCGTTTAAAATTTCAACGATGCAGCATTAAGCATTTCTGCAAGAACCAGGAGTTTGGGTCAGCTCTCTTCCGAAGTCGCGGGGATTCATCTTGAGTGTCTGTTGTCAAGTGAGTTTTATTAATCGACGGGTCCTTCGCCACTGCAAAACGGGGTCACCTCTTGGCTCATCGAGCCAGAAGGTTTTCTTTAGGTGAAGTTCAAGATCAATGAAAATACTAATTTTTCGTGAACACAACTTGAAAACTGTTTGAATTCCTTTGTAATTAGCTAGCAACTAGATAGTGCAGCAGAACATCAAATAAGAAAAAAACAATGAAGATTAAATTTTGAAAGTAAATGTTAAAAGGAAATACTAAAAGTTTAGGGTTAGTTTTGGTCGACATTTGCTACAAAACAACGAAATTTATTGTAGTCTAGATTTTCTGGTAAACGAAGTATGTTTTCTCATATTGAAAACTAAATTAGAAGTTAGGTACAGCCCTATTTTTTAATTAATCACTACATATACCAAATATGGATACGTAGCACATCACGCTAATGTTGTTGACTATGATTTATTAGTTTTTTCTCTAGTGTAGAGGAATGTCTGTGATTGGAATATCAACCTAGAAGATCCAAAGCTCTCTACGAGCAGTGCTGTGAAATTCAAACCCTCAAATTCTCACGTGTCACTTTTTTGTCGACTTTTTCTTGTTTGCGTAGTTTAATGAGGTCGTACATATTTTCGTATCCGCTTTGGAACAAAGTTTTTTGTCGTTAAATGCCAGCCGAACAGTTGCTAATGGTGTGGCTGTGTTTTCGAGGAAATGGAAAGTGGAAAGCGAATTCAGCGAGTGAAAGTACAACCTATATCTATAAAATGTAAAATAATAATTTCTCTTCTTAATGGCAGATAAGTATTGTTCCGCTATTGCTTTCGCTGTCATTATTATCGAAATTTTGCAATCAATAAACAGCTATGAACGTAATCACTAATTTTCTCTTCATGGATGCAGCCAAATATCATTTGCACACTGATCACACTTTCATTCGTTTGCCCTTTATATTGTTTATTGTAGGTTAAGGTCTTTGAGTGCAGGTAAATATTATATTTGACAGAATTTATCTTTTACTTTTTAATTCGCTTAGCAATGGATATTTTTTAGAGAGTAAACGCACAGAAAAGTGGTACATCTCGAAAATATTAATTTTTTAGTTGTGAAGAGCTATGAAATGAAAATAAATTCATCTGCTCAAATTGAAACCGCTGTCCTGCATAATGATGTTTTTTTGGATGTGTCATTTTTTGTGTGCATTTACGGCATATCACCGCTGGTGATTCTCATGCAATAGCCTTCTGACTTAGCTGAAAGAATAAGCAAAAAGCGCGGTGAGAGTCTTCACGTGTGTAACAATGCAACTACAAACGATAGACGAAAGTTATTTAAAAGATATGGGCCTTCAAAAAGTCTACTATTTCCTCGCAAGAATATTCTCGCTACATTTTCTATTATCAGCAGGAAAGTTAAATACGTTTCAAACTAAAGAAAAATGGAATTTTTATTTCGGGAGGTTTTATCAATACGAAATATATGTAATTTCGTTTTTAATGGCTCCTGTGAAATCCCGAATTTAAAACCAGTATGATTGTGATATTAACGATGTAACTGCATCAACGTGACGAGTCATGTTATGGAGCTGTTCACCTTTTTTTGCACGTGAAAACAAGTTACTCCAACAAACACATCAAAATCTGATATTCACCCGCGAAATTGCCCTTTTGCATCAGATTCGTAGCGGCTCTAACGTCGAAATGGCCGTGCCCTGGTAATGGGTTGCCCCGCGAGTGTGCCAATACCCCACGCAATCGCGCGTTGTGGCGCTTCGGAGTCGCTCAGCGGGGACGAAGTGCGTGGGGGCGAGCGAATTTGATTTGTCGCCGCGCTGCGGCAGAAAGGGCGCGCCCGCCGCCGCCGCCGCCGCTGCAGCTCGGAGCGGCCCGTAATGAGCATTCCGGGCGCTTTTGGCCCTCCTCCAAGGGTCGATGAGGGACGCGGTGCGCCAAGGGCAACGGGTGGGGTGCGGGTGCGGGAGTAAAGGGTGTGCGGGTCAAGGGCAGTGGGGGAGTGTGGCGCTCTGATTATATACGCGTTAGAATACATAACATTGCTTTATTTGGTTGAAATTGTAGGAGAACCGTACCACTTGGCAAAGTGCGATAAGTCTCAGTCGATTCGCTATTACCTCGAGTTCTCGTAAAAAAATAAAATACTTTTTTTAAATTGCGTAGGGCGCGTAATGTGCGAGGTCGCAATAAACGTAGCAGAGCAGGCGATTCTAGCCTTGAGTTCTGACGGTTCCAAAAATTCGACCCCAGCTGAGTATCAGGGAGGAGGCTTGCCATTGTTTTGATGACAATTTAGAAGTCGGTTTGACTGTCATGTCTGTGGTTTCCCCCAATCAATTTCTGGATTTCTTTCTTCTCAATACCCGACCAATTTCTTGCTACGCAGAGATGTTAAATATCAATTTTGATTATTTGACATCTCTGTGAATATTAGTGCTATACGTCGTGATATGTAAACACCGATCAAAGTACGCATCAATCAAAGTGACCAATGCAAAAATAAGTCAGGTCTGAAGGGGTTAACAAGTGAACCGGTTTCGACTGATCCACGGGCCAATTGCAATGTTCGCGTGTCTACTGCAATTCAAACCGGCAACATAGTTGAGTCGACTTGAACACGCATGGTGGTCGTTTTCTGCGAAGCGCCTTTTTCAAAAACTTGCCTCGAGTGGTGTTCGACGAGCTACTCCATTTTCGCTATTCCCCGGCGTCGGGCCATCACAATCTCACCTTTGTCAAAGTCACTTACGTCAGATTTCCCCATTTTCGGGATGTGCTGCCGCTAGAATTCGTGTCTGTCTGCTTATATAGGCTTCGTACTTTCCGTTCCGCTTCAAAGACCGACGTCAACAAGAGTATTCATTCATGTATTGAAAAGCATCATTCTTGGGTTCACACTTTACCATTTGTTTGTGGAATACGGTATTGTAAGATAGGCTACGGTGGCTGGTGGAGACTAATTTGCAATTATGGAGTGTGGATTAACTCAAAATTCGTATTTTTTTTGAGTTGTGTCGCTATTGCTATTCACGAGCGAAATCTTATAATAATTGAGGCAATTAGAATGATTGCGTTGAGTGACGTTTCCAGTAGTTAATTTCGGTGGGAGAGAGCGCGTCGTAACCCTTGGCCTTAGAAGCCTCCCGCACCGCTGCTCCGTTAATTGCATTGCCCCGCCTGCCCCTCGTTGCGGCGGCCGCACGTGTGGGTGACGACGCGCGCGCTGCGCTGGCCCGCGTCCGCTGCCACCACCTTCGCTTACGCTCCTCGAGAGGAATAGTAGACAGATAACAGGCTGTTAAAGCTGTTAAGGGAGGTCGGGATTTGATACTTTTGTTCGAGCTGTATTGTTCAATATTCGAGATACCTTTGTTCATTTTGCTGTTCTAAACAAAATTTTGAAGCAATTTATTTCAGTCGCTCAGTTGCATTTTTGGTTACGAATGTTTCGTTAACATCTTCGTAATCTTATTTTGGTAGTGTTCATTTGTCTTTACAATTCGAAAGATTCGCGTACATGATTATGTGAATTTGTCTTTTTCGTTTACTTGTTCTACTGATTATTTACATTGCCACAGTCAAGCGTTCTCTGGCCAACATTTTCGGAATTCCATTTAAATAGGTTTACAATGTGCGAATTTTGAAACGTCTCAGATTTACAAATTTACAAAAAGGTATGAAAATAAAAGTACATGAAGGCCTTTTTTAAATTAATCGGGTTTTTTTATATTATATGTATTTTATTAGCAACTGGAATTAAAAGAGGTTATCAACAGAACTCTTTACCCAAGAGGACGCGTTTTTGTCTGGTATTGTTTAGCAGACCGTGTCCCGTGCGTCCATTCGTTTGCATGCAGAATTGCGATATCAGGAGATGTCCTCTTCTTTTTTTGTCACTTTTTATGTTACAATACCCCGTCTCCGCTGCGTCCGTTCGCATCGCATGCAGAACCCCTCGGCTCGCGGTGGCCAATTCGCACCCCAGCGGGGCGAGGGCATAGGATACGGCGGATAGGCTTCACTTCATTTCTTTTTTGTCAAAAAAACTGTGTTAAGAGTTGTGTCGTTACAATAATCGCGAGAGAAAACTTGTCAAACTATATTGGGATTGCATTGTTAAGGGTGTCGATACTGCAAAATATTGAAAATGTTTTAGGTGAAGGAATTCTCTTCACTACCCCAAATGTATACTGTCACTCTTGTAAAATATGTTTTATGTGTGCGGTACTTCAGTCAAAGAACAAATCTTATTCCGTTATCGCATATTCTATTCATCATTTTTGCGTTATCAATAGCTGCTGACATATCGATACCTAAGGTTTAATACTCTAAATGTATCGATGCTATTTGTCGGTAGTTTCGAATTAAAACAGCTTATCAAATACCACAAGGTGAAATCGTAGGTTTCCACAGTCGGAATCATGTGCTTTGTTCTTACAGTTCGGGTGAACTGCGTTGTAAGTTAGTTTGCCCAGGCCGAAATGTTTTCATCCCTGAATGCAGCCACGAAATTGACGAAAATCGCAATCGAAATTTTGACAAAGTGACCTACGAGACGGCGGCGGCGGTGTTCTGACAACAGAGCAAACGTGTCTTTCGACGTTCCCAAGTTACCTTGTTGTCCCCATCAAGGCGGCTTCAGAAAACAATGAAAGGCGGGCATTTTTCAACAAATGGGAAAAAATATTTTTTGTAATTAATCCTAATACCTATTTATGTAATAACTTTGGTCTTTTTGATCATGTAGAGATTGAAAATAAAACCGTAATACATATTTGTTATTAATATTTCAACTGTTCTTCCTTTTCTACTAAAAAACGAATTTATAATCCATGCCAAAATTTAATTTATGTATTTACCTTTAAAATCGTTAATTCAAAAACATTTTTCTTTACTACGAAATGCATTTCAATGTGTTCTCTTTACTTCAAAAGTACGTATTATTGCGAGTAAGCGGGAACACGTTCATTGTCGATAGTGTGAAAATAAATACACGAATAATATTTTGTAATACATTATTATTTTTGTATTCTGTACTTTTTCGAAGGGAATGGCATTGTGCCGTTTTAGCCACCCATGGGCTTATCTCGTTTTTTCCTTCCCCTTTGACCGCTGCCCCGCGATCCGTGTTTTTCGAATGCAGTGTCCATCGGCGCTCGGCGCTTCGCGGGTCTCCCTGAGATTATTTTTAGTGCGGATCAATAAGACTTGCAGCAAAGGCTTGTTGGACGCCACGGAAGGTGGGTGGGGCCATAAAGCACCAAACCCCACTGTGACCAGCTTGGTTAATCGGTTTCGGGTGTAGGGGATGATTCATTTCGCTGTTCTAATATCCTGTTTTCGTTAAATACTGTAATTGATTTGAGTTGATCACCTGCTTAGCTGGTTATCTTTCGCTTCGGTCATTTAGATTCTTTTTAAATTATTTTTGCACTCTGCTCTGTCTTGTTCCATGGATTACACAACTTATTCACAAGGTGCACTTTGATGTTCATGTGAATGAATGTTTCATTTAATTCAAGACCTTGTCAAGCTCCTTGGTCTTTTATTTCAAGCGTCTGCTAAGATCGGCACTTTGGCCGTTCGGTTTACGTGTTCGGAAGGGAAACTTCCGATGGGACAATTTTTACTTATCTGTTTAACCCAAAATAACTATAATATTAATGGTATTGCAGTGAGCTTCTACTTGTTGATTATTTGCCATTTTCCTTCCTCAGAATTATTCTGTAGTTAAAGATTAATTTCTACGGACTATACCGTGAGATATTTCTTGCTATGTCTCATTAATTAACTGTGACTTCGATATCTTTTTGTATTTGTCTCGGTATTAGATCAGATTCCCTGTTTTTTCATTCTGAAGAATTGTAGTCTACCCGATGTATGCACGTCTGAAGAGTTGTACTTCACGGATAGAACAACGTTGAGAGTCTGAGATGAATGATCCGTGAAGTGTTAAATGAACAAACACATTCTAGACACCTCGCGCTGAATCTTTGCTCTCTCTTGTCAGAGTGCGTGGGAGTGGCTCGCCAGTGCCAAGTGCAAAGTGCGCTGCTTGAGGTTTGGACTATACTTCATATTTGCGTTGCAAATACAGACGGTTGAATAATGTATATAACAGTAGTATTGCGAGGTATTGCTCTTCCTTTTTCCTCGTGGGATGATCTTTCTCAATTATTAGTATCTTCATTTCCTATTAATGACGAATCGGTCACGAAATCCCCTTATGTATTGAAGGCCGCCTCAAACGAAAGAAACAAAAAATTACGTGACCCGTCACAGGCGATTTAGGTCATTTATTTTCAAGTTTCATCAACTGTAAGAAGACAAGATGCTACTGATTCAGGCATTGTGCGTTGTACAATCTATTTTTATAAAGTTGTTCAGTCGATGACTGCGGAAAAATCATATTCAATGACGAATGTACAATCTAACTTGGCAGAGTGAAAGTATGTAGTGTTTACAGAGATTTTTTCCACCAAAACAATTCGAGTAGTTAAAAAAAACTGATAAATACGTTTAAATAGTCTCTACGCGTGTGTTATCATTTTTAAGTGTGTATATGTGTGTGTATTTGTGCGTGCATGCATGTGGAAGTGCGCGAGCACCTATGTGTTAGAACATTTTGATCGAGAAGCTTACAATTGCCTGATCATTTACCTTGTGCGATGTACGGTTTATTTCCGATCACATGGCAGTGGAGCCTCCCTTGAGTTAGAAATCTTTATTTCCTTAGAAAATTGAGCGATTTAGAAAGATGTCAGATAGAGAAGTGTCAAATAATAATTTATCATTCGATTCCACAGAAAAATCGATCTATGGGAATGACCAAGACAAATGACTACATTGGTGGATTCCATTGTCGTAGGCTTCACGACCTAGATTCGCTGCCATCAGATAGGCGTCTAATTTTGACAACGGTGGCGGATTAATCGTGGAACTCGGAGAGTTCCCAACGGGAATCGAAACTGGGGGCAAAATTGAAAAACTGTCGTAATACTTCCGATCTCACCATTCAGCAGGGGAAAGATCATCGCCACCTTCCGAGAAAAGAACATGCACTACCCCTACGGGACTAGTGACCTTAGCAGTTGACGCTCCAGGATTAATCAATCATTCGGGAAACAGCAAATGAAGCTGCGAAGAATCGGAAAAGAATCAAGAAGCTTCGCGAAAAAAGAATTTGATTAATGAATCAAATTCTTCACGTCAAGTACAGCTTCGTTTGCCGTCATGTGGCAAAACGTTACTTTTATTTTTAGGCTTGTTTTTACTTTGGGTGACACGCATGTATTGCAAACACGATATGACCATGGCCGGTGTGATTCCTCGCCGAAAGACGGGTGCGACGTTTCCCCCCGGGAAAACCAGGTTCCAATGAAGACAAACACTGGCCACTTCCGTCCGCCGCCGCGCCGCGCCGAACGGGTACTTCCGGGATCCGGCGCGGGCGGCGTCGGGGCGGCGTGCGGTGGGTGCCGGGCGATGGGCGCCGGGCAGGGGGCGAACTTGGACGGCGAGTTCAGCGACCGGGCTTGCGCGGGCCAGGGGCGGCGCGCAGTGCGTCGGCCTCCGCCTACATGAGCGAAAATCAGCCAGAATACGTTACATTTCTATTTTTTGTTTTATATGCTTCTTTCTTATACTTCGGGTGAAACACGTGCATTGGAGACACGATATGTTTATGTACTTTTGACATGAGCTTTGTTTTTCTAAGAAATTAATGGACCCGGCAATGCTTCCCTGTTGTAATGTATTACACTTCACACGGTACTGGTCACGTGATTTTTAATCACGTTTTTCGTTACGCTCTGCAACCATTTTAAAAGATGAAAGACGTTCTCGCAAGTATTGTTTTGTTCTATACCCTTGCTTGGACATGGTTGTCATGTATTCTATTGTTGAAACGTTCTCCTTCAGGTTTGGGCTTGCATTCGCTATTACTCTGTCTTGGAGAAATTTGATTTACTTGTTTGAGATAGATAATAATTCCGGTCGATATTTTGCAATCGCAGGAGCAGAAATGCAGCGAGGATGGGCTTAATACGTGAGGGTGCGGCAGATTGCGTTTAGCGCACAGGGGGCGCGTCAGGGTCCCTTGAGTTTGCATAAACGCATAAAATGATCATCCACGCGCATCTCCTTGCGACAGACATCTGCATATTCTTATACTATGCCTATATTCTTCGCGCAAGTGCAATCAATAAGTTGACGTTTTATTGCAATCGAGTGAACGATAGGGAAGCGCATAAACTACCGACAAACAAACATATATTGATTTTTATGTAATAGATTGAAGTGGAGTAGTTTCGAGATGATTATTATGGCAATATTTATATCAAGTGAAGAAGGAATGAATGTGTTCAATCATGATAAAAATATTTTGAAATGTTAAAATTCTATTGTTATTTTAGGCGATTTATTCTCAAAAGATAATAGGTTTTGTGAAAGAAAGTGGTGTGAGTGTTGTCTTTACAGGGCGTTTTTAAAACGGTGAATGGTGATATACATATTATAGCACGAGTGGTTACTTTTTGAGGCTTATTTTTGTCCTGTGCACAATCACAAAATGGAAAGTAGCACGTCTTCGAATCCCCCATGTGTGTATACATGTTGCATGCGTTGTGGTCGTGTCGTCACAATCGAACATCGGGCCGGCGGGTGAGCGCTGGAGCAAACAAAGCTTTGCCCGCGAAGTCGGCACCACCCGCCCACTGCGTGCCGCGGCGGCCGCGGCGGGAGAGCGCGAGGGGTCGTGTGGGAATAACACACCGGGGCGATCGATGGCGTGGCGGGCGGCCGGCGGGCGGGAGACGCGGCGGCGGCGCGGCCACTGCCAGCGCAGCGGCCGCGCCGGAGGACTCCTTCGCGCCCGGGCCAGGCCGCGCGCCGCCGCCGCCGAGGCCGCGGGCATGCGAGGAGGCGAAGGCGATGGCGCTCGCGGGCGACTGGTGGGAGCTGCGGCCCGTGCGACGCTCCTACCCCGTCCCGGAGAACCTGGCCGCGTACGACGGCATGGTAACGCGCTGCCTCGCACGCACACGCCCGTCAGGGCGCACTTGTGATGATATGCAAGGGCCTGCGGCATCGTCGTGGCGAGGACCGCTAATGCACACGTTTAAGACTTCACATTTGCATGATAAAGACACATATTAAGTGCACTCGAAGGGTTTTTGCACATTTCGTAATATAATAATAATAATGATTTATTTTATTGGTATTACTATTTTGAATGACAGCACTTCATACCGTCTTTTTAAATCAATAATTATTATAATAATTTATGAATGTGAAGTAATCAGTGTGAACTCGCAGGAGTATAGAAATATTTATTGTCTGGAATTAAACTACGGACCGTCCCAACATTGCGACCACAGGATATCTGCGAAAGTGAACGATTCACAATTGAGATGGATCGCTTTGATAATTCCGCACGTGAAGCTCAAAAGTGAAACGCTTCGAGAGGGAAGGAGTGCACGTGGAGAAAACTACATGGAATGACTTTATAAAAGCTCGAAACCTGCATTGCTTGTTTAGAGATCTTGTTGAATAATGATTACACAGGAATCGTAAACTGTGAAAAGGAAGGAAGGGAGGAAGCTGTGTACTGTTGAAATGGTACGCGCACGGTTATGAAAGCCAGAGCAGGCTGTGGAGACTTCCAGGCAGCGTGGTAACGACGCATTTATCCTTAGCACGGAGCTCCTGGCAAGCCTCATTTGCACCTTAGGACCACGAGCACAGTCCGAACGCACCAAGTACGAGTAAACCTAGGCCATGGAGAGCACTGTTCAATCTGCTTGGTCGCAAGATATATTAAAGTACAGCAAGCAACTGTTTCGATCGTTACATGTACATGCAATGTATGGTAAAATGTAATTTAATTCTGATTGTATGCTTTGTTTTGAATTGAAAGAACATTTTGAATTGAAAGAACACTTAAGTCAAATTAGATCATTCGGTATTTTCGGTTGTCCAAACGATGGTTCTGAGGAAAATGTAATAATATTGTTGCAAATTTTGGTAAACGTAACGCTAACTTAAGGGTTGAAATAATATTTTACTGGCTCAAACTTCGATGTTGGGCGAACCGAACACATGCCTTTTATGTCCGTTGAACACCGTTTGAAACGAATGACCTTTGATGATTCTTACTAAGGTATGTAGGTAGAGCTAAATGAAGGTGAATTCATTTTGATACCTTTGATGTCATCACGTAAAATATAATTGAAGTCTGAAAGATGTGTCCTAATTAACGGAATAAAAATAAACACTTCTTTTGAATTGAAAAACAATTTCTTTTCACTGCATGGATCACCACGAGGAAGATCCATACAAGCTATTTCCAACAACATTAACTCTCCTGTATTTGAACGAAGACTGGAATATTCCGTTCTTGAACGGCACTTCTTTCTGTCGACGCCCTTTGCTCTTTGGCGCGCGTTAAAGCGCCTTCGCGTCGCGCCCGGCGCTCAGCCCGCCGGAGGCGCCTGCTGCCAGTGAATGGTCTCCGGAGCTGGAGCGGCGCGGGCCCAGGGGCGCTGAATGGCGCTCGCCTTCTTGCCTTTGATCGCCGCCGGCCGAGAGTTCGCTGAGGGTGGGAGGTTGAGGAACGGAGCCACACGCTGTCGCGCACTAGGCTGCGATTGGCCAAAAGACGGGCAGAGCGGAATGGGTTTGTGTTGTTTTTGGATGTTTTGTGGCAACGAGTTGTAATAATTCAGTAAAAGTAATCGAACATTTTAATAATTAGGATAAAATGTGAAATCGTTTCGATTAAGAAGAAAACATCGTGATTAATTGATACCAGAGTTTCTTTCGTCGTTCTCAGGAAATTATTCTAGTTTCCGGTGTGTTCACTGTAGTTGGTTATTCACTGAGAGATGAAAGACGGTCTGTTCAAGGGTACGACAGAAGCAGTAACCTGAATACATGGTTTGCTCGGATTTGGAGAAGAGTAGTCTTCGTTTCTCGAGAAAGTTTGTCTACCGGCGATTCACGTATGCATAGCGTATTAAAATTGTCATTTAAAAATGTAGTCAAATCCAAACTTTAAAATTGCAAAGGAAACTCAGAGAAACGCTTAATATTACTTGAGATTACTTCAAAATGCGCAATGTTTAAAGACACTAGTTAGATAATGAAAGCATTCCAACCTGCACTCACGTGAACGTACACGTTATAAAATTCTTCGATTCTAGACTGCAGTCAGTGATTTGCAACACTTTGAATGACTTTATCAATATAACATGTAACGGTGAAAGGGGGAATTGCATTTTTTTTAATGAAAACTAGCTTAATGAGACACTAAAATGGAATGAAATATGCGAGTAATTGCTGAACATCACATTACGACATCTCTTACTACGACGTTTAACATTGAATCTACTGTAGACTCTACATATAGGAAGCAGTGATAGATTAAAGGGCTAATTTTTGTTAAATAT